ACAAAAATTTCTGCTTTTCTTAAGTATTATGGATAAAGTTTACTTTTTGAAACTGCAAGAATATGTGTCAATCAAACGCGTCCCGAAATTCGTAGCTTTAATAACTTCCAGATAAAAGAAGATTATATATAATATATATTTACATTTGCTGTGTTTTTCTACTAAGCCAACTGTAAAATTGATTTGAAAGACATTTTTGTGTATACTCATGCGTAGAAATATACACGGTAAAACTCGCGCTAAAGTGACGTCAAAATGAGGCTACAGAGACGTTAATAAAAATGTAACAATATACGGCAGCAAAAAATTCAAACATTGAGTATATTATTGCATTGGTGCTTTTAAACTTGTAAAATGTAAATATAAGGAATGTTTTTAAGTTTAGTGTGAATTATTGGTGTGTAAATCACACAGACTTGCACGTAGGCATATTTTTCATGAAGCGCAAACGCGCTTCATGAAATATGCCTACGTGACAAGTCTGTGTGATTTACGCACCAATAACTCACATAAAACTAAAAAAATTCATTATATATATATATATATATATATATAATATATATATATATATATATATATATATATATATATATATATATATATATATATATATATATATATATATATATATATATATATATATATATATATATATATATATATATATAATATACACCTATTTACTGGCTATGAGGACAATAGAAAGTTTATCGTTCCCCAAGACAGCAACTATTTCCCGAGGCGCAGCCGAGGGAAATAGTTGCTGTCGAGGGGGACGATAAACTTGCTTTTGTCCGAATAGTCAGTAAATAGGTGTTTTATTATACCGAAGTAGTCTTTACTTGTGTTACGTCACAATCTGGATAAAACCAGAAGAGTTCCGAGATAAAAAGCGAGGGAAACAGAATGCTGCCGGTGAATAGCTTAATGACTATTTCACCATGGACAAATAGCACAAAAACTATTCCACGGTAGGGGCTTTTTGGAAAAAAAATAGTATGTTTATTCGTCATATTTTTATATAGAAAAAATTCACAGAGGTATAATATATATATATATATATATATATATATATATATATATATATATATATATATATATATATATATATATATATATATATATATATATATATATATATATATATATATATATATATATATATATATATGCTCTAACAACATATAAGTTATGATAGTAATTGGAAAATTTTAGAAAATATAAGCTTCAAATCTGTGTTCCAGCCCCTTTAAATAGCCTTGTATCTTTTAAAAAAAAAGTGGAAGCTTATGAAAATTTTTATAAGTTTTATATGACATGATTCATTCAAGAAAATATACTTTTTCCTCTTCCATGATCTTTTCCTCAGTTCAAAACATTCCTAACAAATAAAAACTGTAGTTAACTATTATAGTTATGTATATTAAACTAAGTTAACTAAAATGATAACTTTGACTCTATGGAGACTATAGTGATAACTTTGACTCACTTTAATGACCGCACTGATACTAACGACAGCTTTGAAAACTTTGATTTCATATAGTGATAACTTCGAAAACTTCAATTTACTCTAGTACATATAAAAAGAACAACGTACGGTTTCAATACAAATCTGGCCCTGTAATGTTCTAAAATATGAAACTGATGTGAGAGTTAAAAAGGTGCTTTTTGAATTACTAAAATGTTATACATTAAGATCACACAAATGATTTTCTTATCTGATCCTCAAAATGCTGATTGTGACGTCATAAAATTGTGTATTTTCCTGTATTTTCTTTCAAAAATTGCAAAAGACATCAATTTGAAATGGAATTTCCTTTCAGACAATATAGACCATATGCATCGCCCACAAAGATTCTAAGAACTGTGAATTTTCAAAGAAATTTACACAACATATACAAAAATTGAAGTAGGCGACAGCTGCGGACACCATTTTCTTTACGAATAGTATTCAAGCTCAGAATCCATTAAAACAATACAAAACGGAGCAGAGCAAACACGTACCCCCAAAAACATCAGAGATGGGATCAGGTGCTATGGAGGAGTGCGCATTCCCTGCCGACCGGTCACACCCACCGTGTGCTCCCTGTCATGATCGGGAAATAACGGAAAAATCCGTAGACAATTCAGTGTGTAAATAATGGCCTAACAATTAGTATGAAAATAGTCAGTCAGTATATGGTTTAATGATTGATTGTTTTTGCTGACGAGGTCATTGTATCGACCAAAGAACTTAAGAAATGTTAAGTTTAAACGAGACTGTTAATATTCTTGTTTCATCAACTTGTTTGTCAATAGTTTGCCTCATTTTAGAAATTATTCATACCTAGAGCATGCTCTTTCGCATCGAAACAACTGAGATATACACCCCATATGCATTGTTCACAAAATATCTTACAATTAAGACATTTTTTCCCAAGTCTCCATCAAGTATCTTTGTTATAATAGGTCACAATAAATTTTATCTTTTTATTTAGAATATTTTGGGAATTGTCTTATATTTAAATAATATCTTTATATATAAAAAAAGAAATTACAAAGTTTTCAGATTTATATCTTAGTCATGAGAGTTTTGGTGGGAAATGGGGATCTTCTTGTAGTAACTATTGTATATATATTGTGTATGGATTTTGTTCACGAGGAGATTAACAAATAATTTAGAAATTAAATGACATAGCAGCAGTAGCGTCAATCGCAATTTGTCATTTTGTCCACGGTGACCCAAATTCTTTAGGAAACTTGCACAATAAGGTCGTTGGAAACAGGATACATCTCATAAAACAAGTGCAAATTTATTTTGTTCACTTCCGGTAAAAATTACATCTTTATCAATCTAGGTATCCCATATCTAATATTTCTAAGGACTTTCAGCTGCGGAGATCTAAAGAAAAAGGTAAAGTATCCAAGCACGAACTGGCAATGGGAAACTTGTGAAGCGTATTTCTCAGCAATTCAGTCACTTGAAATATTCTGAAAGGATATTTTGATTCTCCAGATAATGCGTTTAAATCCATCCATTGTTTTTAATCACGGTAGGTTATAAAATGTTATTACATCAATTCAGCATTTTCAGATTTATGATATGGATTGTTTGTCACATATCTCTGACTACTTGACGTTAGTATTGACCTTTTTTGAAATAGCTGTTCCCTTTATATTTTGAACTCATGAAAATGACTTTTTGAGCTTGAATATAGTAAAGGAAACAAATAAACCTTTTTTTTCCTTAATACTGGAACAAAAATACCACGGTACTATGACCTTTCATTGACTTAAAATAAAGACTGTATATGTCTAGAACCCTAAACCCAGAGGTTTCATATAATGCATGATAAAATATACATGTACTAGGTAAGCTTTTGTTAACCAACTTTAGTCAATTTTTGTAAAGGAAAACTCCTGGAAAAAACTCTGCAGTATCGTGGTATGTCCTACAGAAACAAAGGTTAGATAGACCTAAAAGTTTTTTATTTCCTTACTAAATGTATGTTGAGACAGGTTCTCTTATTGATTTATGAATACTCGGAGGTTTGTTGCTTGATCAGCATAGGAATGATTGATTTGCTATCAATAATTCAATTTTATTGAACATGAAGCACTAGGATTTAATTATCAAATGAGCAGTTTGAGTTTTCTTGGTCTTTAACATATTCTGCTCCACTCGGCCTTGTTATTATTAACAGTGAAATGAATGTCACATTTTGTTGCGGACCCTCTATGTTCATTGTAAAATCTTTCCTCAAAGGTGCTAAAGGATAAAGAAGGGTCAAGAGTTAAAAAGAATTTCAAGTAATAATGCATTTTGATTAGAAGATAACCATGTAGCTCTGAACCCAGGAGACAAAAATTCAACAATTCGAAAAAAAATCCATAATTTATTTTCATTAGGCATACTGTTTGATAGCTTAATTTCCAGGAATGAGACAAATTTACAGTGATAGGCACAGGCACAGTGATAAAAGATTATCAAAGACTAATGTGCTTAACCCTGAAGCTTGTATAAAGAGATCATTAATTTCACGATGTTGAAGCGATTTGTCAGTTGGGTGTCAATGAGGAAAGATGATTTTCAAAGGTCTAATGCATTTTCAATAAATAGCCAATTTAGCCAGATCCTGAAAGATAACGTGAAATGAATTTAGTTTGTTATATTCGTGCAAACAGTGTATCTGTTAGATTTCTATTAGTAAAAAAAGAGCCCTAAAGGACTGATAAATGCGTTTTTGAATTATGGCAAATTTAGTCCCTTCCTAAGGGCTGATACCTAGATCCAGGAGACACGATTTTGGCAGAAAGCCAGCTTAATCAGTTTTCCTGCTTGATGTTAATAAGGAAGGAAAAAATACTACAAAAAGATTATTATGCATTTTCCATAAATGTCGAACTTAGCTCCACCAAAAGTCATGAATTCCAAACAAATGGAAGGTGAACTGTTCATTTTGTTTTATTCTATTACACGCAAATGAAAAAAAATCGCAAAAAATGCACAAAAATACAGTTGAACCTCGGTCAATTTACTTTTAAACTTTCAAATTATATAATAGGCTTCTCCCGAACGAACCGATCTAATACTATATCAATTTAAAAATAACATAAATTATGTCTCATTTAGTAAAAAGATATTGGTGGTCTAAACAAGGTCATGCCTATTTAGGTATAGTAAATTGTCTCTTCTTAGTAGTGAAAAAGCAAATTTTCCAAAAATCCAAATGAAGAAGTTGGTCAATATATATATATATATATATATATATATATATATATATATATATATATATATATATATATATATATATATATATATATATGTTTTTCAATGTGTCTGAAATATTAGAATTATATAATTAAAAACACTGCTATGGTTACTTATTTCCTTTTTAAAATCATTAATGATGTATATAAATGTATCTCTATTATCCTTTGTTGTTTTTTTTTTAAATTATATGAACCCATCGCGTGATTCATCTGCCATGTGCTCAAGCTTCCGCTCAAAAATGACGTAACATTAAGACAGACCTCTAGATTGATAAAGATCAAACAACTATTGCAATGGATGAATTTGTTTACTACTACGACTACTATGATGGCAATCAGACGGGTAATAAAACACACATGCCATATGAATATCCCTATATTGTGAGTACATTTCATTTTATTTATAAATATTCCTCTTCATATATGAATATTTCTAAATTTAATTTTAGGTACTTGAAATATGCAGCAATGATAAGTTAAAAGGTAGAATTGATCAAGGGATAAATATAAGACGATATTTTGTACTCAACGACAATAACATCATTTGTAGTCAACTAAAGAGGAAAAAGGTATAGGTGTATGTATAATAGGACGTTTTAACTTTTAGATCGTCATTGTAGAGATATTTAGAATAAAAGAATGATTTCTTCAGTTCAATTAACGTTAGTAATTCTACAAGACCACATATATTCCTAATGAAACTGCATCATTAAAAAATACTTATGGTCTTTAACAGTGTAGATAACAATAAATTGTTGTCGTGTGTAAATCGTACAAATTCATTGTATATTAAAATAACCTGCTGCTCATTACAATAATTAAAACATTGCTTCAATTAAAAATGCTAGAAAATAGCTTAAAGTTAAGGCTCTAACTCTTGTCGAACCATAAGTGATCATTAGCGATAATTATGTGTTTTGTCTGCATATTTTCCTCCTCCAATTCAAGATTCTGTCTGCAAACATCAAGCTATGAGCATCACTTTAAGACAAAACAGGAAGCCATACGTCAAACATTTAATCCCGAGGGAATCCTTGTACATAGAATTAAAGCAATAAAAAGCTCGGAGAAAGCTTATTTTAAAGATTTTTAAATTCTTCATGTTGAAAATGCTTCTTTAAATATCTATTGATTCCAGATCTCAGAAAATACATCTGTTGTATTGCATGTCAATCTGATTTAAACAGGGAAAAACATCCCCCCCCCAAAAAAAAAGTTGTTTATAATGTGTCTAAAATTATTCACAGTATGAATAAATAGTAAATGGGTAGTGACATTGACATATACATATTTTTTTTTGTTCATGGTTTTACATCTGTACGTACCATCAGTTATGAAGAGTAAGTCTCGTTATATCCATCCGATATGAATGTCTGTCTGTATTAAATGCTATTTATGGAGGATTTAACATTTTTTCAAAGTCTCCACTTAATAAAGTATGTTACTATTATAAGCACAGAAATATTACAACTATACATGCAGTTATTTAAAACAATGCTCTGTTAAAAAAAATAAAAACAAATCAAATGCACTTGACACCAATCTGAAGACATTTAATTTGTATTTCCTTTACAATTTCATTAACCTGTGTTTATCTTTAATTAATTTGGAGGGAGATGGGTGAACAAGGCGTGCAGAATCTCTTTATCTTCAGATATATAAGAATCATATTCAGTTTGTTAATTTAGTATATAGGAAAAAATCTCATTATTGAAATTTATGAAATTATGATAAACAAAACTTTTCTGAGGAAAATTTTCTCGGCAAAAATTATTCTGTAATTCTGTGGTTTTCGTTGGGGTTCGAACCCTCGCAATAGAAATCCTGAGTAACATTTTTCTTTGAGACTAACACGCTAACCACTATACAGCTCCTGATGAATGGTGGCATTTAACAGGTTGGTGGAAACGCAAATTCCGTTATAATAGTGATATATCACTATAAAAGTGAGATTCCGCTATATTCTCAGCCGAATTTATCCTCGATTTCATCAAATATCATGCTTGCTGTTTAAAGCGCAAGTCATGGTGGGTATAAAAATGGAAACTAATTGGCACCCCTACATGTTTATTAAATTTTTATACGTTTAATAATGCGAACACACGTTTTAAAACGGAAGTTACATTTTAAACATAACAACCAGTGATTGCGGTAATATTCAAGAAAGGCTGAATCTCCATTTCTCTCACACATGTGCACAAATTAATGTTTGTAATAACTTTCAACCCTCATCGAAAGAGGTTTGTCAAATTTACAGAAGAAAAGATTATTTTTGTCTGCATGGTAACGAGTATGGAGGCCCGTTGCGACAAATGGAAAAAGCTCATTACATGCATACTTTATTCATGCACGTGGAACTTATTTGTATCGTCTAAACGCAGCAAATCGTAAACAATCTATAAAATGTCATTTATACAGGTAATGCCCAGTATAATGTGTCTTTAATTTTCTTGATGATAAAACCACAAATTCATACGATTAGTCTTATTAGGAAAAGACACATTTTTCTTGCATGAAATTACCTGTGAAAGTGACATGTTTAAATTTTGCACGATTCATTGATTGTTTATAAATTGCTTGAAATTTTATTTCTTACTACAGTCTGTACTGAAAAAGGCTATGAAATACAAAATTTATATTATTTCTGCAACAATCAATGAAATAGAAGGAAAAACATGATTGTAATTTGAGTAAGTATTGTCAATAAAATGTGAAGATATAAAGAACAACAATTAACTCAAAAGGCCATTGAAACAATATATATTTTGAAGAGAGCAAACACGTACCTCTGAAATCAGGAGTCATGGAGGAGTAGGCACCCCCTGTTGACCGGTCACACCCGCCTTGTGCTGTTATCATGATCGTATAAACGGAAAAAAAATCCATAGTCAATTCAAGATGAAAATAATGGGTTAATAATCTGCATGAAAGACGTACGTCAGTCAGCATTTGACCCAACACCAGATTGTATTTGCATACAAGGTCATAGTATTGACGATGACCATGGTGTTGACTTCAAGTGTGATTGTAGAATACCCTTAATTCATCAATTTGTTTGTCAGAAGTCTACTTTCTTTTAAACATTATTCGTACGAAGAACATGCTCATGCGAATTGAATCAACTGTAAGACATAAACCCAATATGCAGGTAATAATGGTATATCCTACATAAATAAGGGAAGTTGACGATAGAAAAATTGAAATCATGAGGTTAATCATTAAATTTAGTTGTTAGTTTGCCATCGATCTCTTTCTCCAATATCTAAACATGAAGTAGTTGTATCATACTCCGTGACCTGTCTTTTATCACTAATTCTAAAGTTAACGTACTTTTACTTTTGGAAATTGAAGTTATATTTCGTGTAATATTTGTTGAATGAAAATGCATCATAAGGATGCCAATTAGTGTCCATTTTTATACCTACCATGACTTGCGCTTTAAACAACAAGCATGATATTTTATGAAATCGAGGATAAATACGGCTGAAAATATAACGGAATATTACTATATTAGTGATATACTACTATTATAGCGGATTTTACGTTCCCCCTACCTGTTAAAATCATGTTAGTTATACGACCCTGGACTAAATGGACTACAAGTATTTCTCGGAAAGATGCGAATGTTTTGTCATAAAAGTGTATTTTTAAGTTATAGCGGGTTTTTACTCCATGTTTTTGTTAACCAAAAAAAAGTATATTTTCACACAAATTTTGAGGATAAACTTTCAAAAATATGGAGCAAAGACCCACTCATATCGAAAAATTGGGTTATATAGTATGAGAAAATGATCCTTTTTGCTCTTTTTTAGTGTGTATATGCTATTTCATAGGCAAATAGTTTCAATCTTTGTGAGAATTTTGCAAATTGTGGAGATTTTAAATGAAGTATACTTTTACATGAAATATCAGAGAAAATTTTGTTATAATTGAGATTTAGTTTTTCACCTTCATGTTTGTCGCACTACAGGCATTTGGTTCGCCTTGTTCGCCCATCTTCTTCATTGACTTAAATTTAGCATACGCTTACATTTTCATCATCTCAAATTTACGAACAAAGTGAACTTAACACTATTTGTGCCATCCATGTACATTCATTCTCTCTCTCTCTATCTCTCTCTCTCCATGTTTTAGTAATCTTTAGTTTAAAATGAAATTCTACTTCATTGTTTTTTAGATTGTGGTATTTGAAGTATCCCTACTGTTTTTTATCCTTGCCGGTAACATCACAGTTTTTGTAGTCATCGTCGTTGAAGGTCAAAGGTCAAGGATGCACTTCTTTATTAAGAATTTAGCTATTGCAGGTAATCGTAATTTGCTACTCATTGCTGCATTATAAAACTTGTCCTACATTAATTCTAAGCAATGATTTTGTCCTCCGTATCATTGGCGTCCCTTGCAATTTTTTACAGTGTCATATTTTATAGTCAATCGAATTTCCTGTTCAAAAAAATGAAAAATAAATACCAGCTGCTGGTCTGTTTGAATTTATCCGTATATTGTAATTTGCATTGAAATGGTTTAATCTCGAATGTTGTCCGATCACAAGCTTATGCAGTACTAGAAATGGAGTATGTGACAACCCAGTGCAATGATTTCTGTTAGTAAATCAAACTTTAAAAAATAGTGCCATATGTCAAATATAAGAAATTATTGTTGACGTTTAACATCAATAATTGTATAATTATTGTTTGATATGAACAACACTTTGATTGGGTCTAAAGATGCACTATTCAAGGAAATGTATTCTTAAAGTTCATTATCTGAACCTGAATATATAATGTTTGTTTATCAATATGTGTATCATTTAAGATATGTTATGTGGAGTGTTTTATTTGATTCCTCGTATCGTCCTACATTTCAATCATGGATTGTTTTATGGTGGAGATGCACTGTGTAAATTACAAGTGTTTCTTTCAGTAAGTCTAACAGTTTTGATAAATTATATTATTCCAGTCAGTGCATGAGTTAGTATTTTTGTCTTAATACAAGAAATCTTCGTACGGAAAAAAAATTAATCCTGAAATAAATCTGTAATGAGCTCTATATGTAACATCAGTCATTGCAGTTTCTCATCTGCCAAGAAAAGTCAGAGAAACCAATAAATTAGCTAATTTTGTTTTCGTTATATTAATTTGACATGTCTCAATTTTGAATGATCATCACTTCGTTTAATCGTATCATGATCGTATTTTATTTATTTTTTTCCCCAAAAACCTATATAATATAACACTGTGTTAATTTGAATTTCCTTCTTTGCTTTCCATAGAATATTGGAATTTATGGGTCCAATACGATCATGATCGCCCTGAGTATCGATCGTCTTTACATTCTCCTCAGACCGTTAGGAAGTCTGGAGAATAGAGGTAAGGTGCTTGAAACATTAAAGTTTAATAATTTACAACTCAGTTTTAGCCATATTGGAAGCAAACGACTTATACCAAACCAGTATGACACCATTCTTCAAAGTTTATGAAAAATTACATTGTTACTGTCAAGTATGCGAAGGAAACGTCTTTATTTCTAGAGATCAGAGTATGACTTCAATATCGATTCCGAGCGTATGCTTCGTCAATATGTCAGTGACCTCAAGCAACAGAGAATCGCAAATTCGGATGCGTCGCTCTCTGAAGTAGCTGTCATTTTCGATCATCAATCCCCATACACTTTGAATTTGCCCCTATATCAATACACAAGTTGATCTTCAAGCAGAAATTTTGGAGAAAGAATTCTTCATTGATCGAATTCGAACTTTTTGAGGGTCGATATAATTTTAAGTATTTTGGGTTACAGTGCAAAAAGTGTTGGCGTTGGTATCAATGGACATATAAGTTCCTTAACCAGTTCGAGTAGTAACCGATTTTTCTTAAACTCAACTTGCTTATTTTTTTTTATTTTTCAAAGACACGAAGCTTGCAGAGTATCTCCTCAAAATTAAAAAAAATATATTAAGGATCGAGAGTTTGAGAAAATCGGTTACTAGCTTGCACTGGTAATGGGACCTGTTTCTTCCATTATACAAAAATGGACTTGTGTGTGGTTTTGATGAAATAAACAAGGCGATGAAGAAGTTGCCTATTTCGTAAATAGATCTATACGAATACGTCCCTTGAAATATACCTCGATGATCTGCTGAAATAAAATACACAAGGGAAAAAGTTCAAAGATTTTTAAATAAAATTGTAGATGTTACATTTCATACATTGTACCTGCATTTTGTATCATCAGATCATGAACTTGGCGATGAAGTCCCTGGAAAAGCAGTAAGTCGAGACACCATAAATCAAACGTATAGTGACATGTATAATCACATGAACGTCATTGGTAATTTTTTTTAGGGAAACATCTTTTATTTATGTCTTTCAGCAAATTGCCAAATAACAAAATGTTAAGCGTTTAAGACGTGCTTCTACCCACACACATTGTTTTCCATGACATTTCAAAAAAACAATAGAAAAAGCCGTCGAGTTCTCAGAGCAGTAAAAGGATAGGATATAGTTCATTAAGCAGAGGCAGAATCCGTAGAATGTCCCCATTTCTATCACACGTTAAGAAAGCTTTAGCGGTCCTTGTAACAAGGGAAAAGGACTTAATTATGCTAAAGGTTTGAATACCATCATCACTTTTAATTAAAAATATCTCTAAATGAAAAAGATGCACACAAAGATGTTCACACTAAAATATACAGATTTTTTCTGACTGTCTCCGAGTTTTTAAATTATTTCTACTGTTGATGTTGAATTATTTTGAAGTATATATTTCTCACATGTAATTTATGTTGACAGAAAAGAGACCTGGTATGATTTGAACTTAGGGTTTTCATTGTTCTTATGAAATACTTCCTCTTAACACTGTAATCTGATTACGCAATTTAAGTTCAATTTAAGTTTGGCATTCTGTTTAGATTTATTTTTGTGTTTTCGAATTAAAAAATGTAGGTCATGTGGCTTTAAAATAGAACGCTATCGAACTGTGTATATATATATATATATATATATATATATATATATATATATATATATATATATATATATATATATATATATATATATATATTGAGAGTTAACAAGTGTTTCCATTTATTTTTAGAAAGAAGTCCGACGGTGATTTGTTGTCTTTGCTGGTTGATTGCAACCGTTGTATCTGTATCAGGGCCGATTGTTTTCGAATATGATGAGTATTTTCAAGCATGCGACCTTAAACTCACTTTGAGGGAAATACAGGTCCTTTACTTTTTCCACTTAGTTAACTATCTTTAACTCACAGTAAAAAAACTACTAATTCTGAGCTTTTTGAAAGAAGAGTTTTAAAATAATTATGTTGGTAGAATGGATTGATACATTTTTAAGCATATATATTTATATTGCTTTGCAAATAATAGATAGACATGCCTGTCTTGTTTTCCCAACAGATCTATTTTACCATCATCTTTATCTTTGTTTTCGTCATCCCCACTATCATCATCGTAGGATGTTACTCTACGATAGCTATAATTATATGGAGGGTGTCATCAAAAACAGAAGGTGCCAACAAACTTAAACACTTCAAGTTTTTTCAGTTTGCATTCCTGTACTCCACAATAAAACATAAATGATACAATACTATAAGAATTGTTGCTTTAGAAACATAAGGAAATGATACTTTTCTTTTCAATAAATATATTTTTACTTCATGTACATACTGTTTGTTGCTTGTAAGTCAATAAACTATTTATGTCATAGATGTTGAGTTACAAGGAATCTCATCTACAATCAAACATGAATCGGAATTATTGACCTCAAAACAGCACACAGATTCCTCGGGGATATCAAATGCCAAACTAAAGACCATTAAGATGACATTTGTCATTGCACTTGGTAAGATCTTCTTCCTTATTGTGCAATAGTTCTCATATTTCATCAAATCAAATGATTTTATACCTGTTTACAATGATGCTTTTAGATAAAAATCATGTCTACATTTATTCAGATCTAAGAGTCCAACATTTAAAATATTTCATATTTTGAAAATAAAGATAATTACTAGCTTGATATTTTCGTCAACTTACTATATATATGTTTAATATCTCATCAATAATCAATGAATCAAAAACTACTATAATCGACCCTGATCTTGCTCTTTCAGCCTTTGTGTGTTGTTGGGCGCCTTTCATGATTTTCAATTTACTGTCTGTATATGATAAAGTGCCAGCAATGGAACCAGGAAGTTTATTCATTCAGGGTCTACTGCCACTGAACTCGGTCGTCAATCCTCTCATCTATGGCGTCTTCAGCGTCCGAGTATTTCAAGATTGCTGGTAAAACGTTCATATTCCTTCTGACGTAGAAAGTAGATCAAATGCCTTACAAATGTAATAATTGTAAGGACATAGGATTTTTCTTGTGGTTACCAGTTCCAGAAAATATCGTAAGAATATGCTTTGTATTGAGTGTTCTTTTGACAATAATAGAAATGTAAGGAACGTGAAAAACCGTTAACTAAAACAGTGCATAGTCTGGAATTACGCAAAAAGACTCGTATATAGTATTTGATGTCAAGTGTCGTCCTCTCCTCTCTTGGTCATAAAATAGTAAATATATACATGTATGGGTTATATTTGTTATCAGCAATATCATCTTCAATATTTTTGCAATTTCTTTTGAAAACTTTTCTTAAACATAATTTCTCATGTACATGTATATATATTCTCATCGGAATAGTAAAGCTTTGCGGAGTATGTAAGTCTTTCAGTGTAGGTTTCTCTTGTCGTTGTTAGGATTCGAAAAAGGTAAGGATAACGAACAGTGATCGATCTAAAAAAAAATCCATAAACAATACAAATATGTGAAGAGGGCATAAAACACGGACTCTTGGAAATTCTAGAGGTTGGATCAGGTGCCTTGGAGGAGAAAGCATCCCCTGTTGACCGGTCACACCAACCATGAGCCCTATGTATTGATCAGGTAGACGGAACTATCCGTAATCAATTCAGTATTTTAAAAAAAGGCCAACAATTGATTTGAAAAAACTCCGGCAAAAAAAAAAAACCCGACCCAATGATAGGTTATATTTTCTAACAAGGTCATTATAAGGACGATATATTGACTTCGTCAATTGAGATGAAGGTTTATCACACATATCTCCTTTCTCGACTGACTACTGTAGCATTACTGATGCTGTTTTCTTTTTATCATGCACTTTTTTATGTGCTTAATGACCAGAATCCGGTTGCACGAATGTTACGTAAATTTAACTGTCCGTTAACTTTGCGTTAACCCGCCGTTAAATTTAACGGCGAGTTAAATCGGTTGCACAAAAGTTAACTATTAGTAAAAGCTTAATTAATTTTCTTGTTTAACCAACAGATTTAACTGAGGTTACCTAGGTACATTAAATATTTAATTAAACATTAAAATCAAACTTGCGGATTTGTTATCATTTCAAAACTTGTTTGCTTGGAAAGAAGAACTTATAGAGAGATAATAGAAATGTCTGACTTGAGGAACACACAAATTCAATCCCGATTTCGATTTAGGCAAGATTATATTATACATGTATACATTGCGGATATCTGCAAAGAACAACAAGACGAAATCATTCCATATGAGTGGAGATGTAGGTACTTTTTTTATCCGATAATGCATTCAGTAAACGTCATTATATATATTTTATCAAAAAGATTACCATTTTTAAAAAAAATGTTAACACAGACAAGTTACTGAAAAGTAGGTTAATCGTTCAATTCCCATATCATCAGGCAAGTAAAACGGGAAGGGGGTATTCCTCTCCCACTCTTTGAGAGATTTATATGGACCCGTATCGAAGATTCGGGGATATATAGTTTTTGCACTGTCCCTCCGTATGTCTGTCTAGCTGTCTGTCTGTTTGTCCGCAAAAACTTTAACCTTGCCCATAACTTTTGATTGGTTGGAGCTATAGCTTTCATATTTCACATGTGTATTCCTTGTGAACAGACCTTTCTTTGGGTACCACCATATTTGACCTTTTGACCTTGGAGTTTGACCCAGTTTTGCAAAATTTTACCAAACTTTAATCTTGGCCATAACTTTTGAACAGTTGGTGCTAGGGTTTTCATACTTCACATGTGTAATCCTTGTGACAAGATCTTCCTTTGAATACAAACAACTTTAACCTTTTGACCTTGACCTAGGGGTTTGACCTACTTTTGAAAAACTTTAACCTTGGCCATAACTTTTGAGCGGTTGGTGCTATTGCTTACATAATTCACATGTGTAATCTTTGTTACAAGACCTTCCTTTGGATACCAACAACTTTGACCCTTTGACCTTGACCTTGGAGTTTGACCTACTTTTGGAAAACATCAACCTTGGCCATAACTTTTGAACGGTTGGTGATAGGGCTTTCATACTTCACATATGTAATCCTTGTGACAAGACCTTCCTTTGGATAAAAACAACTTTGACCCTTTGACCTTGACCTAGGAGTTTGACCTACTTTTGGAAAACTTTAACCTTGGCCATAACTTTTGAACGGTTAATGCTACGGCTTTCATACTTCACATATGTAATCCCAAAAATCAATGCATCGTGCTCGAACTTAATACTGAAAACTACATGTACATACTTTGTAATTGCATTGTTTATACTGCATGTAAAATGACTATCTTTCAATGTAAAAATTCATATCTGAAGTAACTATCTTTAATAATATATTTAATATGTTTTCCCAATATAAGACTAACATTTAAGGGAGCCGACTGGGGTTTTATTGTGTGAAAACTACTATAGAGAAACTCTTTAATTTCATAACATATGTACCTTACACTTACTTAAGTATATATGCCAAGTTTAGTGAACATCTACCATCTGGTTATTTTTTAGGGACCATCTCAAAATACAGGTACATTTACTATAGGATTACATAAGAAAATACTATTTTTTCGCACTTCGGAGCAAATTATACAAATGCTACTATAGACTTTTTGCTCAAATTAAACTATTTGATGGGGAATACTTTATTGTACATTTTATGCAAGAAACACAAAATTCTACCGTCTGGTTTCCAGAGGGGGCATCTCAAAATGTCAAAAATAATGATATTTTCCTGTTTTTATGGAGTACAACAAAACATGATAGATACCACAGATTGACATAAGAAATAATAAAAATGATTGTGAGATTCTCAATTTCCTATGTTTAAAATTTCAAGAGCATCTATTTTATACTTTTTATTTTGTGATATAATTAATGACCCCACTTAAAGAACTTCGGTTATTCATAACGTCAAAAACACGCCATTACGACGTCTATCTACCCATCATTTGAAAAATCGTTTAAAAAATCAGTTATTTATAAACGTAATTAGATTTTTTATCCTTAGATTGACTAAATTTATTAATTTTTATAAATTAAGTAAAAATAGTTGCTTTAAAAGAGTAAATACGCTTTATTTTACTATGCTGCGCGAAGTATTGCGCAATGGAAACCCCAGTCGGTCCCCTTAAAGTAAATAACCTTAGCAAATTAACATTTATGAATTGACGTCAATTTAATTATGACGTCAGAAATATTTCACCATAGGTAAGGGAAATGCGCGTGTAGAACGATTTTAAGAGAGAGTTATCTATAAGACATCAATTAAATGTGAGTTAGCTTATTTATTTTTAACAGACTTTCGAACAACTATTTTTTAACTGACAATTACGTAACTCCTCGTTAAAAATTTAAACAGCTAGCTACGACACTAACTGGAAGTTAATTTAACTAACGTTCGTGCAACCAGATCCAGGGTAGTTCCTGGGTTTGATGACAGACTTAAGTACAGACACTCGATCCGTAGTCTGGTTGGAAAGTATCTGACCTTTTGATGTGCATGACACTAACGTTTTACGATAGTATGCTCTAACTGAGTCCTTAAAGAAGGTTGTTGTGTCTGCAGTTTATAAAATGTAGTTGACAAGAATTTCCTGTGTTGTGAAGGACTGAGTTCGAGGATTTGGTTAATTCGCCTGGTATTGTGTAGATTTACAAAATGTAGGAGATAAGGAAACAAATAATAACTCTCAAATAGCATTACTTTTATATCAGAATCCCTTCGGCAAAATAGTGAAATAAACAGAAAGATTGAAGTCATGTTTTGGTGCATATCTTGAAATGTGCTCTACTAAATCTTATTTTTGCTAATGAAACTCTAATCTTAAACAAGTTGTGTTTGTGCAAACACTGATGTCCCCGTATGGCAACCTGTGGTGAGGGTTAAAGTTTCTCAAATGGAAATCAAACTCAAAGGTCAAGAGATCAAAAAGGTTGGCACCCAAAGAAAGGTCTTGTCACAAGAAATATACCTGTGAAAGATAAAAGCCCTAGCACCAATAATTCAAAGGTTATGGCCAAGGTTAAAGTTTTTTTTTTTTTTTTTTTTTTTTAAAAAGTCAAACTCTAAGGTCAAGGTCAAAGTTAAAATTTATGATGCACACGGGAATCGAAGGTCTTGTCACAAGGAATATACATGTGAAATAAGAAAGCCCTAGTACCAACCATTCAAAAGTTATTGCCAAGGTTAAAATTTTTCAAAAGTAGGTCAAACTCTGAGATCAAGGACAAATGTTCAAAACTATTTGTACCTTAGGGAAGGACTTATCACAAGAAATAAATATTTGAAATATGAAAGCCCTAGCACCAACTGTTCAAAAGTTATGACCAAGGTTAAAGTTTTCTTAAAGTAGGTCACACTCCAAGGTCGAGGTCAAAAATTGTTGAACCTAAGGAAAGGTCTTATCACAAGAAATACGCATGCAAAGAATGAAAGCTCTAGTAACAACTGTTTAAAAGTTATGGTCAAGGTTAAAATTTTTGTAAAATTTTGAAAAAGTGGGTCAAACTCCAAAATCAAGTTCAAAAGGTTAAATATGTTGGTACCCAAAGAAAGGTCTTGTCACATGGAATGCACATGTGAAATATGAAGGCCATAGCTCCAACCAATCAAAAGTTATGAGCAAGGTTAAAGTTTTGGCGGACAAGACACAGACAGACGGAAGAACAGGACAAAAACTATTTGCCCAAGAATATTCGATTACGGGGGCATAAATATATTTTGAGTCTAATATTGAAACGTTTTATCAATTTTATGGTATCATTTGTATTGATTGTTATTTTTTCAAAGGGACAAAATTTGTTAGTTAAGTGCAATGAAATGTCTGTTAGAAATACATACCCGCATCGCCATCTGTGAAAAGAAATCGTTTTACAATTTAGAAATATGGTTTAAAATATTTCCTATTCCAAGCAATCACTGAATTATCTGTAACCATTTGACACAGCTTGAATTTTATCATTTAACACAGGGGAAAATTCACTAGCAGATTACAGAACGGGTGAAGAACTACTGAAATTGGATTAAATGACTGAAGAGTTAAAACATCTGTACAAGTGTGTCAGTTTATGTGTTTGTATCCATTGTGGCAGAGCTTTTATGTCGCTATATGAGACAATCTTCTCTATACACAGAGTTTAAAGATCATTAAGATGAATGTACATGTCTAAATGTAATATAACTATCTTGACTTAAGGTAATAATGATATCAGAACCAGATTTTAATTTGTTTTTTTTTTTGTACTTCATTGTTTTTAATAGCTATATATTCTTAATAAATATGTATTGTATATTATTTGAATGATATCTTTAGTTTTCACAAACTTGTACAGAGACCGAAACATGTAGCAGATAATCTGAGAGACTCTGTAGACATATTCAGGGCATAAGGTATAATATCCAGTAAAATTAATTTCGATATTAGATTTATATTTGTTCCATTTTGTCTCACTTTAGGCAAAAGTTTTAGGGAGCTGTTTGATCGAAGACTGTCTTTTTTGTCCTGTGTTGTCTGTAAATGTAAGTTAATGGAATTGAAAATCATAGAAATGACGTTTCCATCCCTTTTTAAAGAGATTAGATGAATAAACTGGGAAAGGTTATTTAATTTTTTTTCTAAAGAAACAATGGATTAAAAGAGACCAGACTGACATAAAAGTTTTCTTAATGAATGTTTGTTGAAGTTTTTTTTTTCAGCTAGATCATGACTCTCTTTTTAATAAAGCTATTATGGGATCAAAATAAAGGATTAAACTGATTCAGCTGAAAGAAAAATTAAAAATCACACTAAAATTCAGAACAGTGTTTTATTTTGTAGATTCAGTGTCTTCAAAGCGTGGCTCCTTTGTCTGTAGGGCCGTGCAATAGAGCCCAAGGTTTTCCTTCACATAGAAATATATATAAACAAGATGTGTTTGTGAAACACTGATGCCCCCGTATGGCAGCTTATGGCGAAGATTAAAGTTTCTCAAATGCAATTCACAATCCAGGCCAAAAGATAAAAAATGTTGGTACCCAAAGAAAGGTCTTGTTTCGAGGAATATACCTATGAAATTTGAAAGCCCTAGCTGCAACTGTTCAAAAGTTATGGCGAAGGATAAAGTTTTTTTAAAAGTAAGTAAAACGTATAGGTCAAGGTCAAAGTTGTTGGTATCCAAAGGAAGGTCTTGTCACAAGGATTACATATGTGAAGTATGAAAGCCCTAGCACCAACCATTCAAAAGTTATGACCAAGGTTAAAGTTTTTCGAAAGTAGGTCAAACTCCTATGTCAAGGTCAAAGGGTCAAAGTGGATAGTATCCAAAGGAAGGTATGGTCACAAGGATTACGTATGTGAGGTATGAAAGCCTAAGCACCAACCATTCAAAAGTTATGGCCAAGGTTAAAGTTTTTCAAAAGTAAGTCAAACACTTATGTCAAGGTCAAAGGGCAAAGTGGTTGGTATCCAAAGGAAGGTGATGTTACAAGAATTACATATGTGACTTATGAAAACCCTAGCATCAACCATTCAAAAGTTATGGTCAAGGTTAAAGTTTTTCAAAAGTAGGTCAAACTCCTAGGTCAAGGTAAAAAGGTCAAAGTTGTTGGTATCCAAAAAAAGGTCTTTTAACAAGAATTATATATATGAAGTTTGAAAACCCTAGCTCCAACCATTCAAAAGTTATGGCCAAGGTTTAAGTTTCTCAAAAGTAGGTCAAACTCCAAGGTCAAGGTCAAAGGGTCAATGAGGTTGATATCCAGAAGAAGATCTTGCCACAAGTAATACACATGTGAAGTTTGAAACTCCAAGCACCAACTGTTCCAAAATTATGGCCAAGGTTAAATTTTTTTCAAAAGTAGGTCAGACTCCAAGGTCAAAAGGTCAAAGTTGTTGGTATCCAAAGGAAGGCCTTGTCACAAAGAATACATATGTGAAGTTTGAAATCCCAAGCACCAACTGTTCAGAAGTTATGGCCAAGATTAAAGTCTCATAAAATTTTGCAAAAGTGGGTCAAACTCCAAGGTCAAGGTCAAAAGGTCAAATATGATGGTACCCAAAGAAAGGTCTTGTCACAAGAAATACACATGTGAAATATAAAAGTCATAACTCCAACCAATCAAAAGTTATGGGCAAGGTTAAAGTTGACAACAGACAGACAAACAGACAGACAGACAGGACAAAAACAATATACCCCCGGGATCTTTCGATCCGGGGGCATAAAAAGAATCTAAATCAAAATCGTTTTCTAAAGTAAAGTACGACTTTATTTTCAATTTAACATGCTTTCAGTCCCATGCGTGTAGATTCTGGCTCTCAAATCATTAACCCATAAGAATAAGACTACTACAGAGAAAGAACATCCAGTTGAATATCACTTCAAAAGTAAGGTTTTACATTGCTGTAGATTGAAATTAATGAAACCTTGGACTTAAAATCGATGCCTACAATAAGTGATTTCGTTAAACACGTAGAAGATAATAGAATGAGAAGTTGTGGCCAACTGGGGTCTTCTTTGTTTTTTTAGCTCAACTGAGGTGAAAGCTCTGTAAACTTTTCACATTTTCAACTTCTTCTCAAGAACCACTAACCCATTTTAACCAAACTTGGTACAAAGCATCCTTGGGTGAAGGGGAATTAAAATTGTTAAAATGAAGGGTCAAGCCCCCTTCAAAGGGGAGATAATCAAGAAAAGACAAAAATTGGGTTGGGTTATTAAAAAATCTTCTCAAGAAACACTAAGCCAGAAAAGCTGAAACTTATGTGAAAGCATCCTGGGGTTGTGTAGATTCTAAATTGTTCAAATCATGACCCCCGGGAGTAGGGCAGGGCCACAATAGGGAATCTAAGTTTTACATTGAAATATGTAGTAAAAATCTTTAAAAATCTTCTTCTCAAGAACCACTGGGCCAGACAGGATGAAACTTATGTGGAAGCATTCTGGGGTAGTGTAGATTCTAAATTGTTCAAATCATGACCCCCGGGGATAGGGCGGGACCACAATAGGGTATCCAAATTTTACATTAAAATATTCAGAAAAAATCTTCTTCTCAAGAACTACTGGGCCAGAAAGGATGAAACTTATGTGGAAGCATTCGGGGGTAGTGTAGATTCTAAATTGTTCAAATCATGACCCCCAGGGTTAGGGCGGGGCCACAATAGGGAATCCAAGTTTTACATTGAAATATGTAGTAAAAATCTTTAAAAATCTTCTTCTCAAGAAGCACTTGGCCAGAAAGACTGAAACCTAAGTGACAGCATCCTGGGGTTGTGTAGATTCTTAATTGTTCGAATCATGACCCCTGGGAGTAGGGCGGGGCCACAATAAGGAATCACATTTTCACATTGAAATATGTAGGAAAAATCTTCTCAAGAACCACTGGGTCAGAAAAACTGAAACTTAGGTGGAAGCATCCTGGGGTAGTGTAGATTCTAACTGTTCAAATCATGACCCTGGGGGTAGGGCGGGGCCACAATAAGTACTACTATGGGGGGATCAGGTGAAAAACAGCAAGGCCAAAGTTACTCATGTGAGCGTTGTGGCCCATGGGCCTCTTGTTATTGGCATACAATAAATTTCAAATGTAATATGGTTCCGGAAATTGCAGCAATTTATTAAATATTAAAAGAAAGGTAGAAAGGGAATATATAATGACTTTTTGATTATTACATCAATACTGACATTTATGGAGCTTTATGAGAAAAAAAATATATTGTTTATGCTTTAACCTTATTTAATGTTCTTTGTTTCTTTCATATGTGAGATACTAAAATAGTTTCTTGTTGACAACTTTGTAATGAACGGCAGGTTTCACACAAGCCTTCATTTTCATTTGGCCGTCACGGTAGATCAGTCGGTAGACCGCTCGCTCCGTGATCGGAAGGTCTTGTGTTCGAATCAAGGCCGCGATTGACCCAAGTCTATAAAAATAGGTAGCAACTGTTCATTCACCAAGCGCTCGGCACTTTGAAGTGAAAGTTGCGGGTCCTTTGTAAGGTAATGCGAAACATTTAATCCCTGAAAACTGAATTTGGTCGGTTTTAGTAGTTGAACTTGAGGCGCGTCCTTTCATAATAGATAGAGAGTTCTGAAAATTTTTTAAATGTTCTACCGATCCTCTATCTTTACTCCTCACAAAAATAGTAACTGTTAAAAGGAAGAAACTTCAGACGTACTGTGCTACAGCATATTCGAGAAGTGGTGTAAATGAAATATGGATTTTTAAAAAAAAACTTGTAGAAAAATTTAAATCACAAATTTTTTTTCAAAAGTCTGTAACATTAGGTCCTATGACTTTCTTACAGTTTATAGAATCATTACTCACGATAAATTAAAAACAAGGCTTTTTTGTATCACAAACAACTGCTTCTTTAATAAATATGGAACTCAGAAATTTTTCACATCTTGTGATTGGTCATCAAGAAGAAAACACTAGCTGTGGTCTTCAACTCGACAATCAGATATATCCACACCGTTTTATCAATTAACAATAGTTACTCCCATTCCTATGTCATCTCGATATATCCCAGTGAACTCGAAAGTAAAACCCCAGAGTTTGTCACATCTGTTTCATATTTGAATGTTTACTGACTATAGACGATAAGGGCCAACTAACAACTAAATTGTATGACAATGAGATAACTTCAGCTTTTCCATTGTCAACTTTTCTTATCTATGTAGAAATATCACCTGTATATAGTGTACATGTATATGTCTTCCAATTTATTCGCCACTCAAGAGCATGCTCGGAGTAAGATCAATTCTTAAACCAAGGCAAGCTACTGACAGATAAATTGATGATACAGGGATTTCAACAACCTCGTTTTAAGTCAGCTTAAATCCTATGGGCGTTATAATGACCTTGTTAGCAAATATAACATATCATTGCGCTGAATTAAATTAACTAAAATATTTCATACCAATTGTTAGGCCTTTGTTTTTATACATAAGAAGTGCGAACGATAGTATTGTTCTGCCGCCTACCTCCAAATCAAATTTCAAAATTAACATATTTGAATGATTTTTCATATTTATATAGATATTTCTGTGAATTTTCATAAAATATAACTTATTTGGGAAAACTAAGAGAGATAAATGTTTGATTTTGGTAAAAATTGCTTTTTTTACTATAGAAATCAATGGAAAACGGAAAATATTTTTAAAACACTCCCCCCCCCCCCCCTTAAACAAAAATTCCTTTTTATGGGTTTTATGAATTGTTATTTGACAAATTCATACCAAAGCTTTTGTTGTTTCACAAGGGGGGGGGGGGATAC